GGGCCGGGCGGGCGCCCCCCCGGGGCGGTGATGGCGGCCGAGCCTGGGCACATGGACATGGGCACCGAGGCTCTGCCGGGGCCCGACGAGGCCGCCGCCGCCGCCGCCGCTTTCGCAGGCAAGTGCGCCCGCGCGCCCGCCGGCCTCGCGCCTCGCCGGGTTCCTGCACACCCGCCCCGCCCTGCCGGGCCGCCCACACCTGCCTAGGCACCTGCTCGACATACCTGCCCCACACACTTGCCCCGCAGGGCTGGGCCATCCCCACCTGGCTGGGGACACCTGCCCCTGCACACCTGCCTTGCTCACCTGCCCTGGGTCGCACTCACCCCCCACCTGTTCCGGACGCCTGCCCCTAGTGACCAGCCTGGCTCTGCCTAGCGTGCACACCTGCTGCCTGCTCCTTTTTCCTGTGCCTGCCAGCCCTGCCCTCTTTTGGTCTTCCCTGTGTCCCTCTGGAACCTTCTCAACACCATGTCCTGCCTGTCTTTTCCTCCATCCAGCCATCCCGAGTGCTGGTGGCATAGCAGGGTCAGACCAGATCCTGTCCTAGAGTGCATGTGGGCATGCATGTCACTTGGAATGCCCAAGGGCTGATGCTGAGGAGCAGTAGTCCAAACCCAGCCTGGGTAGGGCCAGGGACCTCCCAGAGGTGTGACGTGTGGCCCAAGTAGGGCCCCAGCGTGGGCCCGGGAGGTACCTGCACAGGCTTCCCTCACGGTCTGCCTTTGTCCCCACGCCCCTTTCCTTCTAGGCCTTCCCTTCCCTCCTCCTCTTTCCATCCAGCTCCCTCCTGAGGAGGAGGCTGCCGGCCCGCATTTTGGCTAGTGCTGCTTGTCACGCAGATCATCCTCATCGCCGGGTTTCGTGTCACAGACCCTGGAACCAGCAGACTGCCACTCTGCAGCCATCTGAGTCCGTCCCAGTCCTGCCTCCGGCGGGGGTTCCTGGTGCCCTGGGAGGAGCAGCGTTGGCTGTCAGGCTGCCTTGTCAGGCACTGCTGGAGGGCGCCTGGCGGTCCCCGCATGCCAGCCCTGTCCGAGCGTGTGGGTTTCACGTTCTGGGTGTTCGCTCGGCCCTGGGGCTGGGGCTGGGCCAGCAGCCCACTGCGTGTGCGTGTGGTGTGGAGAGCTGCCTGCAAGAATGAGGGAGGCTCTGTGCTCTCGAAGGATTCGGTTTTCACCCATGAACTTTGGTGTGACATTGGAATTTGGGGCCATGGAGCTTTATTTCAGGTTTCTGTATATTTTTCTGAATGCAGAAAGAAAACTGATACTGTCTGTCACGGCATAGAAATATATTGATGTATGTTGCTTCTACGAAATTTTGTAGTTGTGTTTTGATAAAGCATTTCCAAAGTGTTCTTATGACCCGCTGAAGTACCTCTTGGGACCCACTGCCGTCTGAGGCCGCCTTTTTGCAGATGGCTGCTCGAGCTGCCTTTAGGCTGGTGTGTTCAGACACGCCTCAGCCAGCAGCCTGGCCTCTTACCACCTCTTACCACCTCGGTCAGGCAAGGGTGAGGTAGCGGTGGCCCTGGCATAGCCTGGGAGTGGAGACGGCCAGGCGGAGAGGTTCTTTCGGTGCAGTGTGGTGCGTGCTGGGCAGGACTCACTATACCAGTGTCTTTTGAGCACCTGCCATATACCAGAGTCTGCTCTGGGACATGCCGGGGTGCTGGGTGACAGAAGCAGCCACTGGCCCTGTCGAGGAGCGTCAGCAGGCTTTGCAGAGGCAGTGTGGGGAGCGTGCAGGCTGTTCGCAGCAAGGGACGCCTCATGGGAGCAGGAGCTGGGAGACTTCACTGGTGTGACGCGGACCTTCATGGAGTCTGTCCCACAGACCTGCCATGCCAAGGGGCTGTGCCATTCTAGGGACACTGGCAGGTCAGGCATGCTTCTCAGTAGGAAGACATGCTGGAAAAGGTATTGGAGACGCTGGGCAGAGCCAGCGAGCAGGAGCCTGGTCCCCTGACAGTGGTGACCTGAACTTTGTGGTGGTGAGACCCAGGAGGGGAGGGGAAGCCTCCCTGTGTGTTGATCATGTGAGTGGGTCCAGGAGGCGTCTGCACCCATGGGAGGCCGAGAGTGAGACTCTGGGTGCAGGCGCACAGCCTCCTGGAGAAGGGAGATGTCAGGGCTGCTGGGCAGAACTAGCTCGGCGCGGGGCTGGGGAGGGGTTGCCGTGGGTGGCTTTTACTGTGAGCGAGAGTATTACGGAGGAAGGGCCAGATGACAGACTGCGGCTGGAAGCGACAGCCAGGCCTTTCCGAGTCTGCAGTCCGAAGTGCCTGCAGTGGAGTGGGAGCTGCCTCCTTTAAGCTTCGTGCGAGGCCACTTGCCTACTCACACCCTTCTCGTCACGCTTGAACTCGTTTCTTCTGTTGCAGAGGTGACCACAGTGACAGTGGCCAACGTGGGAGCCTCTGCAGACAACGTCTTCACGACGTCAGTGGCGAATGCCGCATCAATTTCAGGACACGTCCTGGTAAGCAGCGCTGAGGAACGTCATGCTTGGCACCCGGCTTCCCTGCATGGCCCTGAGGAAGGCGGCTCCTGGTCACTGCGGTCTGCCCAGGCTTCAGCCCGAGGCCCGAGTACCTGTTCCGTTCTGTGAGCTGTCAAGGGGTGCACGCTGAGCTCTGCTTTTGGGAGCCAGGGGGCAGTGCTGAGCAGGGAGGAGCTTGAGCCGAGGTGGAGCTGCTGTGGAAGGCCAGGTGAGGCCTTTCTCCATTTGGGTCCTGCACAGAAGCACATCGCAGATGTGTTCACGAAGCGACAGGAATGTGGGATACCTGGCAGCAGCCTTCTGAGCCTGGCAGTTGGGGTGACTTCCTTTCCAGATGGTCTCAGCCTGCATCTTAGGGGTGAGAACTCCCAGCTCCTGATCCAGTCCAGGCTGCTCTTAGCCCAGGGTTTAGCTTCTGCCCAGCCTGTTGGTGGTAGAGGGCCCCAGCACTCTGTGGGAGTCCATCTCTCCACCCTCCTCTACCCTGCTGCGTTACGGCCTGTCCACCGCAGTAAGCTGCTGGAACAGGCCACGTGTCAGAGCGCGCTCGTGCCCAAATGCAGAACCCTTGAGCGATGTTCCATGGGCCTGTTTTGTATTTGAGCCTTCGGTGACTCCGAAGAGGAGAAGGGGGATGTCAGGGCGAGCCAGATAGTCTTGTTACCGGTGGCAGACGCTGGGGGATACTGTCCGCAGAAAAGCGGTTCCCTGCCAGCCTGTGAGCTGCTGCAGCCTTTTCAGCCAGAGCACACACCTGGGGCACCGTACCCCTTAACGCAGAGTTATTGTTAGGATGACAACAAACAGAGCACCTACTCTTTTTTTTATTTTTTTTGCCAGAGGGTGCTTGCGCTCACCAGAGAGAGGGAGAAAGGGCGAAAGCACCCCATGGCGTGTGGCCACGCTGCGGCCTCTGCTCCTCTTACCCACCTGATCAGGAGTTTGAGCATGCACACGTGCACCTGGTGTAGTTTTCCAGTCACCGGGCTGGGATTCGAGCCGCACGGTCAGCCACGTGGAATCCATCGCCCTCAGTGCCTAGGCCACAGGCCGATCCCTCACCTTTTTATTTGGAGTGGTTTTTGCTTTAGGGTGTGTACATTCACCAGAGAGACAGAGAGACAGAGAGCAAGAAATCACCCCCAGGGTGATGGCCACGCCGCAATCCCTTCTCCTCCATTCTCCTCTCGGGATCTTAGGCACGCATGCACGCGCACCTGGTGTGATATTAAGCTGCCAGGTCCAGGACTTGAACTGTAGTCAACTACGTGGAAGTCCAGCAACATAGCCATTATGCTATCTGCTGGTCCCATCCTTTTTTTTTTAATAGTTATTTAATTCATCCGTTATTATTATTATTTTTATTTGACCAAAGTGAGACAGAGGGAAAGTGGAAAAGCAAGCTGCCGGGTCTCGGACTTGAACCACGGTCAGCCATGTGAGTCCAGCACCTTGACCACTATGCCACCTGCTGCCCGCCCCCCTTTTAAATGGTAGAGATTGCGTGCACACAGAAGAGAGAGCGAGAAGCACCCTCTGTGGGGATTCATCATGTCATGACCCCATTTCCTTGGCCCTCAGGATCCTGGGTGCCTGTGCACACCCAGCGTGTTGTCAGATAGCCCTGGGATCTGACCTCGCTGTCAACCATGCGGCTTCCAGCACTGCGGCTCAGTATGCCACAGGCTGCACCATTGAGGTTGTGCGGAGCCCAAGTTCACTGTAACGGCAGTACAGTGACAGACCTGGCGCAGGGCGTGGCAGACCTGGTCAGTCTGCGCCGGGCTCAGAGTGTAACGGCAGTACAGTGACAGACCTGGCGCAGGGCGTGGCAGACCTGGTCAGTCTCCGCTGGGCTCCGCGTGGTACGGCAGGACAGTGACAGACCCGGCGCAGGGCGTGGCAGACCTGGTCAGTCTGCGCCGGGCTCAGAGTGTAACGGCAGTACAGTGACAGACCCGGCGCAGGGCGTGGCAGACCTGGTCAGTCTCCGCCGGGCTCAGAGTGCTCGGGTTGCCCAGTCTGGCTGCTTCCTGGCGGCAGATTCTGTGCTCGTCCTCATCTTCTAGGGGGACCCAAGTGTAAGGCACTTCCGAGGGCCCAGACCTTGCCGGTGATGGAGTCAGGGCGCGGCTGCTGGTGCATCCTGCCATCGGCGCCCGCACTGGGCTCCGAGGACAGGGCTGGCCTCTCGCCTCCAGGCCAGGAAAACGCGGAGACGAGTGTGTGCCTATGTGGACGCTGACAGCAGATAGAGGGGTCCCCGCGTGCGTAGATGCCCTCTCCCCTGACCAGAAGAGTACCTGGTGGTCTGGAAACACGCCCTTTCTCCAGTACAGGGTTGAGGTCCTGAGTCACGGGGACCCAGCAGCGCAGACCCCGTCCTGGGCGTTGGCCCTCAGGCTCCCTGAGCCCTGCTGTCAGGAGTGTGTGCTGAGGAAGGGGCACCATCAAGTTTTCATGTATGCAGAGTCAGAGGTCACGTTCCCGGGTATAAGAACCCCGTCTTGTGTCTTCCGAGTTAGCTTTACGCTCTTAGAATGAAAACTTTAGAGTTTCCTAGGACGTTGGGCCTGGACAGGCCACTGAGGTCCTGGTCTGCCCAGCGGCTGTCAGACAGAGCCTTGTGGCTAAGGTTTGCTGGACAGCTTGGCGGAGGTGGGACCCAGGCTCCCACAGGGATGTCTGTGGAGGGGAGTGTGGGCCCGGAGGGCGAGTTTGGGCTGGGGATAAATGGCTAGATCCTTGCTGGAGGGCCACATCCTGTTTGTTAAGTCATGTGCCTGAGGGCGTCCTGTGAGGAGACTTCATGAGGCATTCTTTCTCCTAGTCTGGTAGGACAGCCCTTCAGATTGGGGACAGCCTGAACACGGAAAAAGCCACGCTGATTGTCGTCCACACGGATGGAAGCATCGTGGAGACCACAGGGCTGAAGGGCCCAGCAGCGCCCCTCACCCCAGGTATCGGCAGTGGGGTGTGCTCGAGAGGGTCTGCAACGTATTCTGGGTGGTAAACTGGGAATCCCAAATATTAGCTGATTTAAGCTGAGAAAGGGAGAATTTTCAGGGCTGAGAAGTGCTGTCCGTTGTCGAAGGGGCCGTGTGTGGCACTATCTTGGCGGGGGTTCAAGTCTGAGACCTGGCAGCGTGCAGCAGCTCAGCTCAGCCCGGTGCTCCTCTGTTACCTTCCTGCGTCCTTATCTCCTGACTATCCTTGCCCCAGGTCCTCAGTCCCCTCCAACTCCTCTAGCTCCTGGCCAGGAGAAAGGCGGAACCAAATACAACTGGGACCCGTCCGTGTACGACAGCGAGCTGCCCGTGCGGTGCCGGAACATCAGCGGGACCCTGTACAAGAGCAGGCTTGGCTCAGGTGAGCGTGGGCCTGGTCGCACTAGGCTGCTGCTGCTCTGGCCTTCAAGGGCTTTATTCCTTTTTGCATCCCAGCCGCGTGATAAATAGGCATCTCTGTCTCTAAATAAGGAACATTCTCAAGGTTTCCAAATGCAGAAGACAGGCGGTGTAAGTGACAGCGGCCCCTGTGAGGCACAGCTGAGGCAGTGGAGAGGTGCAGGGCAGGGTGAAACTGAAAGTGATTGGTCCAGGTAGAAAACTGGGAGTCCGTGTGACCCTGGGACTGGGAGGAAGCTGGGGAGAAGCAGGCTGCCCCCTGTGCCCAGGTCTGGGCAGCGTGGGGCATGTAGACCAAGGGTTCTGGAGGAGGCAGCACTCGCTGCAGGGCGCAACTGGGCTGCGGTAACTGCAGACTGCAGCTGAGAGGTCCATAGGGGCCGGGGCATCGCGTGCAAACGGGGACTCTGGAGGTCTGCCCAGGGTGGCTGTCAGGGCCATCCATGAGATGCATCGGGTCACGCTGGCAGGGGAGCAGAGACGGGGGAGCCTGCCTGGTGTCCGCTAGCCACACTGACAAGGGACGGGGTGGTTCCTTTGCCTTCACTGCAGGAGGCCGGGGGCGATGCATTAAGCAGGGGGAGAACTGGTACAGTCCTACCGAGTTTGAAGCCATGGCAGGAAGAGCCAGCAGTAAAGACTGGAAGAGAAGCATCCGCTACGCCGGCAGACCTCTGCAGTGCCTCATCCAGGTACCACGGGCCCGTCTCTGCACCCTGCACGCACTCACGGGGCAGCCAGACGGCCCAGCCTAGAGGAGGCACACAGACCATGCAGTCAGGCAGGACTGCTAGCATTGTGACCTGGGGCAAGTGCTTATCCTCTCTGTCCGCCAGTTTCCTGATCATTCAGGCAGATAACAACCCCCTCCGGTGGTTGGGGGGACAGAGCTCACAGAGACAGAGTAAGCACAGAGAAGGGAAATGTTAGAAGCATAACAAATAAAAGTCGTAGCAGTGAAGATGCCAGCTCCTGCTTGAGTACACCTGACTCTTCCATTCGTTTCTTCCCTGGAAGAGAGACACTGCGGCAGGGTCTTTCCCACTCAGCCTGCCCGCGTCATGGCGCACAGGGTTGTGTGCTCAGGCAGGTGTTCGGATGCAAACCCAGGGCCTGCTCCACATGCGATGTGTCGCTGTGTCATCCCCAACCCTGCGCAGGTGCCTTCTCTGCTCCAGCTTACTCAGGAGAAGAGAGGGTTTCTGCTTCCCATCGCAGGTCCCTTGGGTGCTGTCAATGAAATAACGCCCTAGGGTCTTTCATAGCTCCTGTTACCAGTAATGGCATGTGAAAAGGAGAAGGTTCTGGAAGTTACTGTATTTTCTTAGAATTTTTATTTTTGGGGGCCACCTGATGGGGTGACGGTTAAGGTAGCTAGACGCCACACGGCCAGCTATGTAATGGACCCCACAGCTCGCGAAACAATGCTGGGTGTGTGTGTGTGTGTGTGTGTGTGTGCCCCAAATCCCTCAAGAAGAGTGAGATGACAAGGAGGGGTTGTGTGGTCATCTCCCACGGGCGTGCTCTCTCTCTTTGTCTCCCTGGGGTAAGCACACTTACTCTCTGACAAACATTTATAAAAAAAGAATTTTTACTTTTATGATAATAGATAAGTAGTAAAACCAGCGGAAATCTTTCAGTGCTGAACAGTTCACATTTCAAGGCTGACTCTCTAACGCTGATGGGGTGACGGTTAAGGTAGCTAGACGCCACACGGCCAGCTATGTAATGGACCCCACAGCTCGCGAAACAATGCTGGGTGTGTGTGTGTGTGTGTGTGTGTGTGTGCCCCAAATCCCTCAAGAAGAGTGAGATGACAAGGAGGGGTTGTGTGGTCATCTCCCACGGGCGTGCTCTCTCTCTTTGTCTCCCTGGGGTAAGCACACTTACTCTCTGACAAACATTTATAAAAAAAGAATTTTTACTTTTATGATAATAGATAAGTAGTAAAACCAGCGGAAATCTTTCAGTGCTGAACAGTTCACATTTCAAGGCTGACTCTCTAACGTATTAAAGCACTCGTTACCTTCCAGGATGGGATCCTGAACCCTCACGCTGCCTCCTGCACCTGTGCTGCCTGCTGTGATGACATGACCTTGGTAAGTCCCCACGAGGTCAGAGTGCTAGGCCAGACGCTGAGGGCCAAGCAGAGGGCAGGCCCAGTAGAGGACAGGGACAGTGGGACGAGCCCTCAACCTTGGCTCTTTCTGTCTCTGGTCTTCTGCTTTGGAGAGAGACAGTATCCTTTTTTTTTTTTTAAATTACTTTATTTCACTATTTATTTATTTATTTATTTATTTATTTTGAGAGGTTTTTGCTATAGGGCACATACACTCATCAGAAAGACAGAGAGACAGAGAGATAGAAAGCAAGAAATCACCCTCCAGCGGGGATGGCCACACCGCAATCCCTTCTCTCAGGATCTTGGGCACGCACGCACATGCGCCCAGCATGAGTTTAAGCCACCGGGTCCAGGACTTGAACCATGGTCGGCTACATGGGAGTTTAGCAACATAGCTATTACGCTAACTGCTGGTCCCGAGAGACAGTATCCTTACTTCTCTGTGGGCCATCTTGTCCCATGTCTCTGGCACATTACTGAAACTTCGATAGACGCCTGCAGTTGGTCCTGAAAGGTTGTTCAAGAACAGTAAAGGCAGGACTAACAGTTAGCATAATGGCTATGTCGCTAGACTCCCTTGTAGTCGACCGCGGTCCGAGTCCTGGACCCGGAGGCTTAAACTCACACCGGGCGCATGTCCGTGCGTGCCCAAGATCCCAAGAGGAGAAGGGATTGCGATGTGGCCATCCCCCCTGGGGGTGTGATTTCTCACTTTCTGTCTCTCTCTCTGCCTGTCTGGCGAGTGCACATGCCCTATAGCAAAAACCTCTCCAAAAAAAAAAAGAACAGTAAAGGCAATTTTTATTTTATTTTTCTGAGGGAGATTAATGTAGAGCATGTGTGCTTGCCGGAGAGACAGAGAGACAGAAAGCAAGAAATCCCCCCGTCTTCCCGCCCAGGGTTGGTGGCCACACCGCAGGCCCTTCTCGTCTCTGCTCCTCTTGGGATTTTGGGCATGCACGCACATGTGTCCGGCATGTGCTTTAAGCAGCCAGGTCCGGGACTCTAGCTTTCTGTTATTTAAGAAAGTTTCCTAGGACCAGGAAGTAGCATGATGGTTGTTGCCAAACTCCCACATAGTCGACCGCGGTTCACGTCCCGGACCTGGTGGCTTAAAACTCACGCCGGGCGCGTGTGCGTGCGTGCCCAAGATTCTGAGAGGAGAATGGAGGAGAAGGGATTGCGGTGTGGCCATCCCCCGGGGGGTGATTTCTCGCTTTCTGTCTCTCTTGTTTCTCTGGCGAGCACAAGAGTCCTATAGCAAAAATATTTTTCAAAAAAGGAAATGATAGAAACCTCTTGTAATATTGCCATCTAAACCCCAAAACCAAACATACATACGTTTAAAAATGGTTACAACAAATGTGTATGTACCCTTTTATAGCTTGTGTTTTTTAAATATTATTTCTTAAAAATCTGCACTAAACTTATTCATGTGTAGTTTTTAATATCTTTGGAAATATTTTCTTTTTAAATTTTTTTTAAACATTTTAAAATTTTGTTTATTCATTTGTTCATTCTAATTTGACCAGAGTGACACACACACACACACACAAAGGGAGGTGGACGAGAAAGCAAGCCACCAGGTCTGGGACTCGAACCGTTGTTGGCCATGTGGGATTGTCCGGTGCCTTAAATACCATGCCATCCACTGGTCCCTGGAAATATTTTCTTATCCTAAAATTTTTTAATGTATTATTTAACTTTATTTTATTTATTGATTTATTTTACTTTGACCAGAGAGAGAGAGAATGAGAAAGCAAGCTGCCAGGTTTGGGAGTTGAACTACAGTCTGTCATGTGAGAGGCCAGTGTTCCTAACCACCATGCCACCTGCCAACCCCATTATTCTAATTATTTTTTTAGAAATTATTTGATTTCATTTATTATCATCATTATTATTTGTTTAATTTGACCTGAGAAAGACAGAGAGAGAGAAAGGGAAAGTAGGAAAGCAAGCTTCCAGATCTGGGACTCAAACCGTGGTCGGCCATGTGGGAGTCCAGCACCTTAACCACCATGCTACCTGCCAGCCCCCCTTATTCTAAATTTTTAACTGCTTCAAATAGAAACAAAATAATTTTCACTGACTTCATTATATATTGCCATACAGCTTTCAAAAGTGTCATACTAATTTGTAATATATGGACACACCAGTAATATTTCAACCTTTCGTAGTGTTGAATATTATTATTTCTTCAATGCCTTCAGTTTCATTAAAAGTTGCTTAATAAGGTATAGTTAGAATGCAAATCTGGTTAATTATTAGAGGATTAAAAAAATTTATTAGACCATATTCTTTTTTTTTTTGGAGAGATTTTTGCTATAGGGCGCGTGCGCTTGCCAGACAGACAGAGAGAGACAGAGAGACAGAAAGCGAGAAATCACCCCCCAAGGGGGATGGTCACGCTACAATCCCTTCTCCTCCATTCTCCTCTCGGGATCTTGGGCACGCACATACATGTGCCTGGCGTGAGTTTAAGCCACTGGGTCTGGGACGCGAACCGCGGTCGACTACGTGGGAGTCCAGCGACATAGCCATTACGCTAACTGCTGGTTCCCTAGGCCATATTCTTTGGGTGAAAAACTAAATGTTCTAAAATTTTCTAGCTTGTGTGTAGATTTAGTGTGATTCTAGTGGGAACAATTTTGTGAAACTAAAATAATTTTAGCATTCATTTAGAAAAACTAATACGTGAGGGCCAGCAGGTAGTATAGTGGTGGTTAAGAAAAAAAAAGGTGGCTTGAAGCTCATGCCAGGCTTGTGTACGTGTGTGCCCAGAATCCTAACAGGAGAAGGGATCGCGGTGTGGCCATCCCCCCTGAGCAGTGATCTCTCACTTTCTATCTCTTTCTGTCTCTCTGGTGAGCACATGCACCCTGTAGCAAAAATTCCTCAGAAAAGAAAAAGAAAACCTAATGTGCAAGACTTTTAGTGAGCTTGGGGACCAGCAGGTGGCGTGGCGGTTAAGGTGCTGGACACTCCCACATGGCTGACCACGGTTTGAGTCCTGGATCTGGTGGCTTGCTTTCTCACTTTCCCTCTCTCTCT